TGGTAGGAGACGACGTCGCGATTATCAAGGAAAAATTGTTGAGTGAATGTGAGTGGTTCTGTATACGGTCACAAGTGGTAGTCGGTTTATCTGACATTCAGTGGGGTACAGTCAATCATGTGGAGGTGCGCGGACGCCGAGTAAACGGACCTTGATATTTGGCATTTTTCGAGCAAATGACTGATTGTACCAACTGAGAGGTGCGACACCATCCCATCACAACTGTCCGAGTCTTAGTCAAGCGCCACTGGTTAGTAGATAGGCCGCACTGAAAACAAAATTACCGTAATATCCCGCATACATATATGTCAAGTCATGCGTTACCGGTCTTTTGCTCTGCATTTTCTCAGACAGACCGCATTTCTGTCAAATAATATGGTTTGTTTCCTATTCTATTCCATTTGTCAGCAGAAACGACGGTCCGAGAGACACACTGGGGATCGAAAGAGATATACTGTGGATTTGGAGTTGAACCTATCAGATGATGACTCTGATGGTGATGGAGATCTTGCGACTCTGAACGCGAGCGGTGCAACGGTAAGTGTTGTTGCTACTTTGTTTTCAATTATGGTGGCACTTCAGACAGCGACAGGTTATGTAGCCACTAGCAGAGCGTTGCTGTTCATTCCTAACTGCACGTTCGGTGGATGCCTTTAGATTCTCATAAAGCATGGCCGAACATTCCTCGGATTGTTCGAAATTCACAACCTTATGTTATGGTATTCCACCTTTCAATCCGCTGTCGTTAGGCGGCTCCATTGATTGTGTACAACTTAGAGAGCTCGAGATACCTAAGTGGTTTAGGCACGAACTCACTGACAGGAAGATCTGTGATTCGAACTTAACCTCGGTATTTCGACTGCTCGTGCCTAGACTTGGGCAACCTGACAGTACCTCAGACTTCGTGCCTTCCTCGGGTGGCATGGCAACTATGTACACAAAGAGCGTTAATTGTTTTACATCATAACTCTGTTACTGTGTATATCCCCGAACATTTCTTTCAGGCTATGGTGGAGGAAAACGAAATAAAAATAGTCGAATCGGTATTGGGTCGTCGAACCACCAAACGAGTTGTGAAGAAGGTAACAACTTTACCCAGTAACAGCAACGGGGATGCATTATCGCCGTCTAATCAGACCGATCACAAAACGCTACCGCTGGATCAGTCGAAAGTACCTAGACTTGGCAACCTGACAGTACCTCAGACTTCGTGCCTTCCTCGGGTGGCATGGCAACTATGTACACAAAGAGCGTTAATTGTTTTACATCATAACTCTGTTACTGTGTATATCCCCGAACATTTCTTTCAGGCTATGGTGGAGGAAAACGAAATAAAAATAGTCGAATCGGTATTGGGTCGTCGAACCACCAAACGAGTTGTGAAGAAGGTAACAACTTTACCCAGTAACAGCAACGGGGATGCATTATCGCCGTCTAATCAGACCGATCACAAAACGCTACCGCTGGATCAGTCGAAAGTAGATGTGGAGGAAGAGGAAGAAGAGGATGTTGAAGAATTCTACCTCAAATACAAAGGCTAGTAAGTCCAGCTTAAAACACATTGCTTGGTCGTTGAGGTCTGGTAGCCAGTTTGGGATGTAAGCATGGGCACAGAACCGAAACACCTATTGATGGCTGGTCATTTGCCTATCCATTCTATCGTAACATTGCGCTGTGCTCGTTTGAACTGGATTATCACTTTAATTACGAGGTTCAGGTACTTATAATGCTGACCAAATGACAAACACCAGGAACAGGGAGTACAACGTTTCTGAAACAGCTTAGCATCCAACTGCACGGTGAGTGATCATCAATCTGTCCTTAATGGGCACTTAGGCCCTATGTCTAGTTCATCTACATCCAACCCAATTTTACGTGTTCAGAGGGAGCTAAACCGTCTTTAAGTTTGTGAGCCTTTCTGATAACGTGCTTACGAGCACGCTATCTTGAATGTGCAAGTTTTTGGCGTGTGAATGACCCAGAACCCTTATGCTCTTTTTTGGTAAGCTCCTATCTTCATTGTGAGTGGCGAGCTCTCGATGAAATAGACGATCCACGCATACGCCCCAAGTTACGCCGTTTTGAAATGAAGCAAGCTCACGCTGTTCAACAGGAGGTGAGTAATATTGTTTGCTTATTTCCTATCCACCTTGTGCCGTATTTCGGACTGTTTCCATTACACCTTCACTCATTCGCATCCGGCTATTCACCCGAACCTAAAAGAGCTCGTGTATTGTTCACACGAAGATTTTCATCCTGGATGATCATCGCAAACCCAACCAGGATTTTCTGTTGAAAAAACTTCTGAGAACTTGGGCTACGTGTGACCCATCATCACTGCGCTCCGTAAGGCTGCAATTTTTCCGAAGTCCAGGTGTTTCTCTTGTTTTCACTTATTGATTGGGTACATTGTCATGGAACGACCCTTCCACTCAGTCTGCGGATAGTCTTAGAGTTAGTTGTTTTTCCCACATCACTTATTGACACTTTCTGGTCTAGACGTTTGTGGTCTATGCTTTTCACGCAATGGTTCCTTTCTCTTCATAGGATGATGACGTCGTTCTTTTCAATCCCGACTATGTCGAAGTGGAACGCGTCCTGGATATGAAAGTCTACAGGAACGGTCAACTAGTTTGCTCTGATCAACTGCGCCAAGAAGTTGAGCGCGAGTCGATTTCCGATCTGGTTGAAATGCGCAGGCAGCGTAAGCGTGAACGTGAACGTAATCGGGCTCGAGCGTTGCGTGAGGCCAAGGCGAAAGCCAAACTTCAGTTGGAAGCGGCTTCATCTAATCAGCCTCCCTCTTCACGGTCCAATGGATTGGCTGAAGAGAGTATCGGGTCTGTCGCCCTGTCTGGTCCAGGGGAACAAAAGGTCTTAGGTGTCTTATCGGAGGCCAGTGTTGCCTCTGTTGACGATGAGAAGGAACAAACACCCTCTCGCGCCTCTTCAGAGGAACGTACAAGTTTACCGGAACCAACGGTATTGCAAAACGAAACCAGCACAAATGCCCCAGATTCTGTGGGTTCCAGTCAACCATCGGACTCGACAATAGTTGGTGACAATGTTCCTTCGGATTTCACTGCCAAAAGTGACGAAGTGACTCTCACAAATGTGACGTCCAGTCCAAACACCACGCTACCCGAGCTAAAGAATGAGGAAGAGGAATGCTCTGAGCAGGGCGATGGTGAAAGGTCGCCCGTCACCGTGACTTATTATCTTGTGAAGTGGCGCTCCCTAGCCTACGAAGATGCTACTTGGGAGCTTGCCCAAGATGTTGACCCGGCTAAAGTGAAAGAATTCATCAAATGGCGCACACCTCCAAAAATTGCCCCTACTGCTCGTGATAGCGACTATAAGGTAAGTTCACTGTTCAATCAGGAGCGTTACTATGGAATTCCACAACTCAGCTTAACCAATGTTTGTAATTGACGTATTTTATACTGAATCAAGCCGTTTGTTTCACCTAAGTAAACGAACCTGGAAGTTTGTTCTAAGCTTATTGGATTCCAAACGCAGTCGTATCAGTGTTCAAGATATTTCGCACTTATACCGAGCTTTTTGTCGAATTTTTCAATTTTCTTCAGATTATTCGACCGGATCCATCAACATGGCGGCCGATAGAAGCCGTCAAGGTATACAAGAACAACAACAAACTTCGTGATTACCAATTGGAAGGCGTTAACTGGCTAACCTATTGCTGGTTCCACCATCGCAACTGCATCTTAGCAGACGAGATGGGTTTAGGAAAAACGGTCCAGAGTGTCGCGTTTCTACTAGAACTTGAGAAAGCCGGTGTTCGTGGTCCGTTTCTTGTGATCGTTCCACTATCCACGGTGGCCAATTGGCAGCGCGAGTTTGAGAACTGGTCAGATTTCAACGTGGTCGTCTATCACGGAAGCAGCATCAGTCGTAATATGATTCAGGAGTACGAGATCTTCTACAAGCGTCGTCCGAATGATACGGCTGTTCGGCATGATGTTTATAAATTTCATGCGTTGGTCACAACGTTTGAAGTTCTCATGACAGACATTGAGTTTTTCGGTCAGGTCCATTGGGCTGCCGCTGTCATTGATGAAGCGCATCGACTGAAGAACAAAAAGTGTAAACTAGGCGAAGGTTTACGCTACCTGGAGCTGGTGAGTCAGTTGCTCGTCAACACGTGTGTATTTCAGTTGAGCTCACATTAACCATAGTTTGTCGCATTTCCCATGCCACATTCGTGATCAGGCATGATCGTCGACCTACATTTACTTCCCTTATACGTGTCATGTTGAACCCAGCTTGATCCAACTGTTTGGTTTGATCGCACTGTTCTATCTTCAGTTTTGCGTACTTTTTGACTGTTCGTCACTCTTCTTCAGTGCCCACTTCCTCCATTCCATACAAGTTCCCTTCCACTTTACCAGAGCTCCGTTGCTCAGGTGTCCCAAAGTACTGCAACGTGTGCCTCTGAATGGCTTACTGGTTGTTCCTAAACTTAAATGTGCTGGTGTCGCAAACTTTGGAGTTGTCTTAAATGATCAACTGAAGTTTGATAGCACCAGTGTAGGACAGATAGGCGTACTCGAATGGGCGTAACCGAATAAAGCTCTGTTAGAAGGCACGCATGAGCGCACTTAGACACTGATCTAGCCTGATTTTGCCATGCCACAGGACCCATCTTTCAGGGTTTATGGTGTCGCATCGCCCCCCTCCAGGGGCAGCTCCTCAGATGAACCTTTTTGTGTGAACGTTTTTGCTCATCCCCAAGGGATAACAATACTGTCCACCCAGTGAGTCCCTCCCCCGAACCGGTTCGCCCCTTTCTCGCGAAATCATTTTTTTTTCATTGCAAGAGTTGTTTACTTAGGAATGTTTTGCGCACGTTCATAAAGGACCGGAAAATTCCATCACAGACCGTCTCCTTATCAAGTCAAATAAAGTGCAGTGACATCATTATTCAAATGTATACTTTGGTGGCCCAGATTAATGGTCCCTCGTCCGACTATGCCCCTGACAAGTGTACGTCCAGTTACCGCCTGTGCTAACAAGACGTGAGGTGTGTATAGGCGCGCGAGCTTGACTATATTTTATTTAACTTTAGCCAAGGTGAAAACAATTTGAACTGTCACCAAGTCAAGTCTCTGATTATCTATATTATGGTGACACGATAGCTTGATTCCGATAAAGGAACTGCAAACCTGCGGTCGGTGACCTGGTGACACTCAACAGGCGGATTTATTTTGTTTAGGTAGTCCGTGTTAGGCCTACCTCTTAAAGTCCTTCTTCAACTGTATGCAGAGTGGCAGCCTTCCATCGAGGTGGGATTTTAAACTGGCAGGCAAGTATGAAAGTCAACCAGTAAACTTAGTTGCATTCGCACTGGTCTTCTCTGAATGGGGACCCACACTAATCACCAAAGACATGGCTTAGTCGGTGCTTAGTGGCTTTCTCGCATTTGATCCATTATTTCTGACGCATAACTACGCCTTCACACTTTTCGCACTGGTAGCTAAATAACCACCCCGAGCCTCTGGCCCCAGTGCACAGTTTTCTACCAATCTATCCTCCAGTGGAAACCACCTGCACGCAGTTTTAGTTCTGTTGCTCGCTAATTCGCTCGCTTAATTCGTTCACTGATCTAGCCTGATTTTGCCATGCCACGGTTGATACCCTAAGCCGGACTGAATTCACACCCTAGTAGAAGTTCCCTGATGATCTCCAGCACCACCTATTTAACTTTAGGGGTGCTTTTTGGGTACTTTTTATGCTCAATCGGAAAATCTCTGGGACATTGTTTCTACATCGCTGCGTTTTCGCTTTTCGTGAGTACACTTTCAGGAAGATAATACCACTTTTCTTTTCATGTGGGTGCCCACTTGATCTCTTAACTAGTTTAGACCTGGAAAGTTTGGCTACTTTAATATCCTTCAATCTTTTGTCAGTTATTGGGCGCTACACAAATGGACCGTCTCATCGCGCTCAATTTGATTTTGGAGTGACCCTATATTTGGGAACGTTCGCAGGAAGGGATGAGCGATCAGTAGGATATCACCAAACTTCATAGCATCAAACTTCCGAGTCACTTTATTTTTTGAAGCGAGTGTATCAACTTAAGTGTGTGATTTGTGCGCGTTAGCTTGTATGGATGTTGTCAGTGAGTTTTCTAGATGAATGGAGTCGCGAAACTGGACAACTATCAAGCTTTCTGATAAACGGTCCAATACAGTCCCAAACAGTCAGACAATATTCTCACATAACATGGGTCACAACAGTGTCGTTCTCCATACTGTTGAATGTTCATTGTCGTATCCACTTTTCGTGATAATTAGGCCTCTAGATCACCTGTTCCTCATTGCTCCTTCCCTTGGGATGTTGTCTTGATAGCTTTACCCGGTTTCTTTAGCAACGGTCATTCTTGAATGTCGTCACTTGATCGGCAACTCGTGTAAGACCTATATATTTCGTGGTCGGTTGACTGGTTTGGTATCGGGCATATGGTTCACAATCAAAGATATTGGATGCTTTTAACCTACGGAAAACGAAGCCAATGAACATAACGTACCATTATTTTCACAGTCAGGTACACGTCAGTGTATGTATGCAAATGAATAGTGTTTCACCCACACAAGGCACAGTTTCTGTTCATAAAAAAACATGACTTCGTGATTTGCCGGTCCGCAATACGCCGAAATTTTCTTTCAGTTCCAACTACAATCACTCAGAATAGTGTTCTCCCAAAGACCTGGTGAATTTTGACGAAACTAAACCAGTGGATGCTACTTTTGCGTAGTGCTGTCTGGAACTGCCGACGGGATCTTGACTGTAATGTGTCTCGCGCGGCGAATTCTCGTTCACATTTACCCCCGACCATTCAAGTTGGTACCAAACGCCCACCCTTCTGGATCTTCCTCAAGGTGGTCGTATGGATCAATACTGTCAACTCCAAATTGGTTCATATTAATCAAAACGAGTCAATTGCTTGGGAGAGTACTTCTTTGTACCTACCACTTTTACCAATTTTCTATTGACAGGGGATGAAATGAGTGTATGGAACATGAAAACGAAGTTCTCTGCTGATACTGGTGTTGACAACAACAGATCCGAGGTTGTGTGAAATGGATAATTTTCAGTCCCTTTTAAAGGATTGGTCAAATACTTCGAATTCACTTCGTACCACAAATTATCGAGTAGGGTAGGGACGCTTTACTTCCCCATCTGTTCATATCTCGTATGCTGTATTTTCCGATTATCTTGACAAGTAACGGGAGTACACCGACTTGACTCACATTCAGACCAACTAGGCTCTTTTTTCGTCACGTTTTCCTGTGTTATTTTACATGACATGCAATGGTCATTGAATCACACGAAAACTAAGAACTTCCGTTCTCCGCATTCGCCTGTCTTTTTTCACCCACACACCTCACGCTTTTCTGTCTTCAGGACCACCGTGTTCTCCTCACTGGCACACCACTTCAGAACAATGTAGAAGAGCTGTTTGGCCTCCTGAATTTTCTTGAACCCGAGAGGTTTAACTGTTCTTCGTCTTTTGTTGCCGAATACGGAGATCTAAAAACAGAGGAGCAAGTCGAGAATCTCAAGACTCTGCTTAAACCGATGATGCTGCGCCGACTGAAGGAGGACGTGGAAAAAAGCCTCGCACCCAAAGAAGAAACGATTGTGGAGGCAAGCTTCCTTTTTTATTTCCTAGTATCCCGGCTTTTGTTCTTGATACCTATATCGCTCTTGTCGGAGTGTACTTATTGTAACGTTATTCGGCCCAAATGGAGACTTACAGAAGCGTCAATGTGGTCGATGTGTGTGGTCCTAAAAACTCAGCATATGTTAACTACTCGGTTCCCAAGATCTCTTTGTGTCGCTGAGCGCACCATCATCGTGAGTGGATACTATCAGTCTATGGGGCTTCCCGACTCAAAGCGATAGTTTTGAACTGATTATTGGTGGTAAAAGACACAAATTGCTTCTCTAAACAAGTGTGAAAGGTATTGTTAGTGGTAGGTAGGCCCTTCAGTGTGGTAACCGTTTCTAACGAAACCTCTGGCAAATTATCCTAACCTGTTCGAAGTCCGTCTGACGGGTATTGTGTCCGGAATGAACCCCCCAGCTTGAATAGAAATTATACAGCGGGTTACAGAGTGGTATTGATTACGAGGGACTCCATCGAGTCTCCAATAATTCTGACGAAGATGAACTTGCGACCAAATCACTTTTCAGTCTAGGAGTTGCCTATCATAGATCCTTAGGAATGATCCCCACACAGGTAGTGGACTACCGAAATACAATCATTTATAAACAAATTTGATTTTACGAGAGACTCATCTGGAACCCAGCTGAATCTCTCGTTTGCGATGTAGTGGACTACTTACGAATTTTTGACGATCGTCTCATTTGACGTGTACCGTAGTCCTCGAGTGTTCGAGCAACTGCTTGCCCAAAACTGTTCGTTTTCTATGCTACTCATGAGTAACACATGCATATATAATCTCACGATCACGCCACCAGGCGTCCTCATTCATTGTAGAAAATCCTTGACATAGCTCAGGTGTATGACAGAACTACTAGCTCATCGCGCAGTTTCATACAGTAGTTCTATTTAGAGATCGTTGTGCCGGCTAGAATGTAGCTTCTCATCATTGTGTCGCTGCAGTCTCCTCTGTTACCAGGAGAGTTCAGCTGGATCTTTCCGATTACCGACGATTTTACATTCCTTTTTACACCGATGCCACAATTACCCTGGCTTCGATGAACTATCTGCGCTCTGCTATCTCCACTCTGACTCAGATTAACCTTAATCTGCTTACTGACTTTCGTCTGTTATTCGTATTCGTTTGTGACTCATCACGACATTCCCCAAGGCCTTATTTGTTGTTTTCGTGCCACCTCATCCCAGGTCGAGTTGACAAATATCCAGAAGAAATATTATCGTGCTATCATGGAACGGAACTTCGCTTTCCTGTGTAAAGGTTCAACATATTCGAACGCGCCGAACTTGATGAACGTCATGATGGAACTTCGCAAGTGCTGCAATCACCCGTTCTTAATAAAAGGTGCTGAGGAAGCCATCCTTGAGGAAATGCGCACGCAAGAGGCAAGTTCCTTCACTTTTTTGGCTGAGAAAATTAGTTAGGGAGAACGGCACTCTATCCACTCCTTAACGGCCTGAGTTGTGTGTTGGTTCGAATTGTTCTCTCGGTGTATAGGCCCATCGTATCCAGTTGCGAGTTAATTTCCTTGGTCTGGAATTCCTTGCCGAAGACCAACTGAATCTAATTTGGTACGTGGTGTTTTCAATGCAGAATTGCGCCTCGAAGAAAAAACACTTCACCGTTGTCTCCACTTTAGCGTCTTGGGCTAATTTCGTCTTTTGTTTCGTAGTACCGACTAACCTGACCCTTTCCTACATGGATATAGAGGAAACATTTCCGCGATGGACTGCAGTATTTTCTGTTTTTCTATAGAGGAAAATGTTGGTAGCTTAGGTAGCGTAGACGTTTGTTGGCTTGTTCGCTGAGGTGGGCAATTTGATTGCACACGCCTCATGATCAATCGAGGTGACATCATCAGTGTGTTATTCGGGAGGGTAGTAGTGCGTAGCCGTGGATTAGTGATTGTGCACACCACTAAGCTCCCTACTGACGCACATTCGGGAGGGTAGTAGTGCGTAGCCGTGGGTTAGTGATTGTGCACACCACTAGGCTCCCTACTGACGCACTGATGTCACCTCCATTGGTGATGAAACGTTTGCAATCAAATTACCCAGCTCAGCGAACAAGCCAGCGACCATATTTTCTGTGTGGTGCTACATGGCGGCGTGCATGTTCACTGTAAACATCGACGGTAATTTGTTGTGTTTCACTCGTAAAGATTCGTTATCCCACCGTCCGACATTAATTGTTCATCTTGCTGATGTTATCGTCACATCTAGCCGGTGCTCCATTGCTCGATCGAAGGGCGTGCACTTTTAACGTCTTGTAAACCAAATCCGGTGCCGGACAATGACTTTAATATGCGCCATCTTTTTCCTTCCTCTTCATATAGATTTCCGATCAACCGGTTTCAGAAGAGTCCACGACATTCCATGCACTTGTCTATGCATCAGGAAAGCTTGTTCTTATCCACAAGCTGCTACCCAAACTCCGAGCTAACGGACACAAAGTCCTCATCTTCTCACAAATGATTAGAGTGCTGGACATTTTGGAAGACTTTTTAATTCATCAACGGTAGGCACCGTTGTTCAGTTTTAATACAATCGTTTCATATGTGATCTGCATTGTATGTTCGCTTTCACTGAATTGCGCCGAATGTTTTCGTATCACATTTCCCGAGTGAATGGATGCATTTACAATTTCCGTTGGTATTTTTCTGTATTGCTCTGAATAATAATATTAAGTTGGAGTTGTTTGACGACTGTACGCGATTCTCTTTGCTCTGTCGCGCTGTTCATATTTGTTCGTCAATTCCACTTCAGATATCCTTTCGAGCGAATTGATGGCCGTATTCATGGTCCCCTGCGGCAGGAGGCAATTGATCGATTTACCGCCGGTCAGTTTTAATCCCTTGGTCTACCTTTATCAAATAATGTGTCATTGTTGGAATTTTGAAATAGCATCTCATCGTTTACTTCCTCTCACTATACACTATACGCCTTTCCCTGTATTTCTACTCATCCTGAAAGATCCGGACAAGTTTGTTTTCCTACTTTGCACCAAAGCCGGTGGGCTCGGTATCAACCTCACGGCTGCAGACGTGGTGATCATCTACGATTCAGATTGGAATCCACAAAACGACCTGCAAGCTCAGGCTCGATGTCATCGTATCGGTCAGCAGAAAATGGTGAAAGTTTACCGGTTGATTACACGGAACACATACGAACGTGAGATGTTCGATCGGGCCTCGTTGAAACTTGGTCTGGACCGCGCAGTCCTCCAATCCATGGGCAGCAAGGAGGCCAGACAGGTTAGTTGTTTTGGATTTATTTCTCGCAAGTTTTCGTCTGATTAGATGCGCGTTGAACGCAATCGACGTTTCCTAGTAAATCGAGCGTTGAATACTTCGTGTTTGGAATGTCTTACTTGTTTTGTCTTGCCCCACACGTGTCGGTACCTGGTAAGATGATTTTTTTATTATTAGGTTTTTTACGACTCAACCGGTAAGGTTGACTAATAAATAACGCCCTTTTAGCGCCTGCCTGCCATACCACTCGAGAGGCGTACGAGGGCTGAGATACGACCAGGTTACTCACGTTCAGACAGGCGCTGTGAGGTGCCGAGACGGGTTTTGAACCACGGATACTCCAGCCAGCAATTTCGCGCGATAACCACTGAGCCATATCTTGTACGGTTGACCAAGTTTTTGTCAATCCTGTAGCCATCCAGAAGTACACTCCTGTTGAACCAGATCCCTTTTACGTAAACTTCCCCCAGTGTGCTAAGTCAATTACCAGTAATTAGGTAATTGGACACTGATTGGTTATATCAACGCAGTGTTCCTTCTTAAGAGCGAACTCAACCAAGAGTGAGCCAATTTTTGATTTATAGAAGTGTTGTCCTTCTGTGTGTGATAGAACGGCTCATGTATTGTGGAAGAATGAGACTAGAATAATCCCATTTGCTTCTCTGTCGGGTTCTCCAGCTGGAGGCTTTGTCGTGCATTTATTCAACAAGAATCGACTGAGTAGGTTCTTCTCGGAGATAATGTATGCTGTGGGCTGTACGACTGTTACTTTGTTTACCCTTACTGAACGGAGCGAATTGCATATTTAACGGATTATTCCTCTAAATAGCGCTAACTTCCTAAACTGAATCACCATATTTCGAACATGTCTGTGGTACTTAACGAAAGCGCATAATCAAATTTTAACCACTGGTGACAATTCCGCTCAGGATAGCAGATATCAAAATATCAGATACCCCCAACTATTCGTTGCCTTAGCCAAGTCAGGCAACAAATGGTCACATGGAAACTCGCATCATGATGTCTTCGTTGTGAAGACAGTTTCCTTCTCTGAAGGGACCTCCCTGGAGAAATCACTAAGTTGGTCTTTTGAATCTGGTCTGCCTGGCAGTGATACCCCCAGAAGACACCATTCATGTTTGGTCCCACCAGTTGTTCTCTCCGGAACGTGATAATCGTAGTTGCACACAGATTCGCGAACCAAACGGCTGAACTCTGCCCTCCGGTTACCCTACACAATAAATATCATTCCAGGACGGAGAGGACTCAGCCTGGTAAATGACTACAATCCCGTTAACTTGGTGACTGCTCGACGGATAATGGCAGTCGCCGGAGCTTTTACAGGTCAAATTCCAGCAGGTGATCGTTGGGACAGCATCCTCAGGGAGGAAGTTTCTAGAAGTGAGTATGCCGGAATGAACGAATGCTAACTGAACGACTGTACGACTCGAGATCAGGTTAAGGTGTACCCTGAGTGGCAGAATCAATCAGCTGTAGCCCAGCGTTCCTCGTTCTCCTACGAAGACTAGCGTTATCTTGTGGTATGGTGTCCAACTACTACTGTGATTTTGTCACATCGTCCATTAAAGGCTGTCTCAGGCTATAGTGTAATCGGAATTGCAAGTGGAAGACTAGGGCAGGTGTTATCCAAGCAAGCACGCCTATATTCTCCTGATCCTGGGGACAAACTTAAATTTTTTCGTTGTTCATTTAATCCGTATATTGTGTATGTCCGCTGTCACTTCCGAATTTCTTGTAAAATGAATACGAGTTGCCATTATCAGCGCAATCTCTTACCTTCTTTCCGTGCTCCTCTTACCTCATCTTGCAGGCTCAAATGAGCAAGAAGGAAATAGAAGAGCTACTGAAAAAAGGCGCTTATGGTGCCTTAATGGATGATGACAAGGCGGGTGAAGATTTTTGTGAGGAGGATATCGACCAGATTCTGCAATCGCGGTCACGCGTTGTTCAGTTGGAGCAGGGCGAAAAGAATTCGACGTTTTCTAAGGTAAGTAGAAACCTAAGTGATAATGCTGTTCCTATACTGTTGGTTTACGAGATTCTTTTCTAACTTATTCTTATCTGTTTTCCCCTCCTAGGCTACGTTTTCTATCTCGGACAACCGTAGTGACATCGAACTGGATGATCCTAATTTCTGGCAGAAATGGGCAAAGAAAGCGGGCGTGGATGAGAATGCGGGGACGGTAAAGGTATTGTTTTTTTCTATCTCCGACCTAGTTTACTGTTTTCATCACTACCAAATGCAACATCGGACGCTGATCCGCTAAACACTGAAGCATACAGCCCTAAGGACATCTGTTCTTATAGTTCCTTTGTTCCGCTGTTGACTGTACTGCTCCCTACACAGCACAACACTTTACATTGGTTACTGTTCAGAAGTGGTAACATTTGGTGTCTTTGCAAACATCTTTCACGATTAGTTTGGCCTCTACACCCACCATTCGGGTTGCAATAATGCCAGTTCAGGAAATTCGTCTTCGCTCCTCCGTCTACCCAGAACACCCACTCTACTCCTCCCCATACGTATACGCAGCAGGTTCTAGTCGGAATATCCTTTGCAACACTCACCCCTAGACAGACTGATCTCCCGACTATCACAGTTTGTGCACATTTTAGATGGGTTTGCAGCATGTTCAGATTTTTCAGATAATTCCACAGAGTTACGATAAGATCGAAACAAAACATTATTGCAAAGCTCTACTTTTCGTGAGCTATAACCTGATAACCGAACACCCCTTGACCCTTTGAAAAAAAAGAAGCCTTTCACAGATGTTGTTCCATACGTTGTGCCTTTATGGTGTAACTGGTTGGTCTGCTAGTCTACCGATGGACAGTGACGGATTTCAGTTGAGATGGCCAATTTTCATTACAAAGGGGGTAATCAGAGGAAGCCACTCTCCAACCTTGCAACAATGACTGGAAGCTGGGAAACTGCACTGAAGCGCTTTGCAGAAGATCATCGATCTGAGATCAGTAGCCTGTTAGGGTTCAGAGTAAGCTACCTATACCACGTTGATATTTTTGGAATATTGAAAACTTTGCTTCAGGTGGATTCTCTGATCCCTGTCTCGGTATGGTTCATACGGATTTCAGTAATAAACCGCTAGCAGCTGCAACCTCCGTAAAATGAATGCTCATTTCAGTTGATGTTCATTTCAGTATGTGCTTGGAATATGTCAGTGCTCCCTACTGATATTGATTCGGTGGGTCTGGCACGATTTCAGCTCATGTGTTCGATGAGCCCCATGTAAGCCACATACCAAAAAATGTAATGCAGCTGAGTGAATGCATTCTTCTTGATGCATAATTTCCAACAGACCAATGATCATGGTGTTTACTTTCTTCAGCAAGTCACCGAGCCGAGGCCTTTCCGTTTTGAATTTCATATGCGGTAAATTCCCTCACAAGCTATTATCATGCGAAAGGGTAATTGCTTCTTTTCATAAGGGGAACTACTCACAAGGTTGCTGAAAACTCTTCAACAGCCCACGACCGGTTTCGCCCTTCTTGGGGCTCATCAGGTAGGCGCAGTCCCCGAGTTTCCCTCAACCTTATGATCTACTTGAACCCAAATTGCACTCTTCGAGAAATACACTTGTGAGTAGTTTCCTTTATGAAAATATACTGGGATATCTCGAATATCGTGCCAACTGAATCATGAGGCAGCCTGTGTGCAGCACATTCAGCTGGAGGACATCATAAACGAGAGATTCAATTGAGTCTCCCGTAAAAACCAAATTGATTTGCAAATGAGTGTATTTCTCGGTAATCGCTTCTCTTTGTTGAAGTATCACTTGGGCAGCCTGTTGCCTAATCTCGGAATCCGGTGCGGGGTATTGAACCAGTCCACCACAACGTCTCCTTGGAAGAACTTTTTTATCTTAGGGGATCGGGTGACCATTGTGTATCATCGGGATACTCTTCTGTCTTCCGGTAGCACTTTGTGCACCCGTTCCGTAGGCTTCAGTGTTGTTTACGACACCCCAACTGATCTAACCCAGCCACAATGATGATGACTAATTCTTTTAATCGATTACCTTGTTTCTTAGGATCTCATTATGAAAACTCCCCGTCAACGCAGACAAACCTCTCGCTATTCTGCACTGTCCGAATCAGCACCCGTGGCTGCAAGCCCCCCTAGTTATGGTACCTCCGAACCAGAGGACAGCGCAACTGCCCAAAGTTCCGCTGACGAAAATACCATTTCCGGTGGTGGCAGTGGTAGTGGTCGAGGACGTTGGCGTCGATGTCGTCGACAAAAGCGTCATTCCAAAATTTCGCGCAATCTAAGCTCCGGGCGTCGTGACAGCGTAGCATCTATGTCTGGTGATTTTCACGGTGTCGACGTCACAGACTCCATGAAAATTGAGCCATTGGACCGAGCTGACTTGTTCCGTGTGGAAAGATGCTTGTTAACATGGCCCTGGGGGCGCTGGGAAAGGGGGTTATCCACGGTTCCCTTTAAACGACAGCTCGAACCAACTGAACTGGCCTACTTCGCCAGTGCAGTGCTGGCTTTTGCCTTCAAGTTTTTGCCACCTGCAGCTGATACACGTATTCGTGCAACGATAGTTGAGTTGACTCGTCCCAAAGTTTGGAATTTTGGCATCATTGAGCTGGCAAAAATCGTAGCCAAGGCAACCAAAAGAGCCAGTCGCGGTTACAGAATTTTGGATCCAGCTCGTGGTGATTCATTCACAAAGGAAGCTTCTGAATGCAACTTGGCTCCCTCCGGTTCTTGTATTTTGGACAACGCAGCAGACTCTCCATCCACAATAGACGCTCCCGCCACTCCTTCCTTGTCACACGGTTGCTTGGCTGAGATTGTAGACAGCGTAACTGCATCGGAGACGGAATTTAAGAGCGAAGAATCGAGGAAAGAACCTCCCGCAGAAGTTGAGGCGCCATTTGAGCAGAAGACCGAGCTGATACCCGAGCGACATTCGCGATCTCCAAGTTGCGCAGATGGTGATTCGGACAAAGAAATGGACAGTGTGCAACCTCTTAGGATCCAGGCGGATGAATGTGTTGATTCTGAGAAGGATGGCAAAGATAACGAGCGTGATGCAGCGGAAAAGATAGTTGATGCTAGTTCTGAGTGTGCCACCACCGCTAAAACACCCAATATCCAGAATGACTCCCCAAAAAGTGAGTGTTTTTTGCGCCCTCTGCTGTCTTTTGAGAAAATGACTTTCGTGAAAATTCGGATATATTGTATTCCATTGGTCACCTCAAGGTTGTCGGTCTTTCGCTTTTTGTTCGCAAACTTTTCAGCCACCTCTCCGAGGGGAGTTTATATCGACTTTTACTCTCCTGTCTTGGTCAACCTGTATTGCAATCGATAGCTTGTTCCATTCGTTTTTCGTGCCTCACTGAATTGCTCTGATATCTCCCATATATTCACTCTTTCCCAGCTGCTTCGTTTGACCCTGACGTGCTTGTATCGTGCGACAGTTTCCGAAAGCACCTACGTCGTCACAGCGTAAGGTTGATGAATCGTGTCGCCTTTCTGTTCTTTCTACAATGTGAAGTTATTGGTGTGGATTCATCTACCGAACTGATGGCCGGTCGGCTTGCCCACACCGATTTTGCCGAACTTGCTGCTAGCCTCCCTCCACTTGAGGGTAAGTCACTTTTACACTAAGCACACTTGATGAGCCAGCTTACCTACATCTCGTGCCGCTGATTTTTCGGTAGGGGTACAGTGAAGTCAATGGATGAATGCCTAGTATTCGAAGCATTCCTCACCCTTAATTAGTACACTTTCTGGTGACAGTCGGGTTCACTCAATATGCCATTCTAAGGGAAGGCCTGCGGTAGCTTCCGTCACTATTTTCATCGTCTTCGAAATATTCCCTGATCCTTCGTGTCAGTAGCGATGTGGAACGCTGCGTGGTTTTTGGACGAGGCAAATCAGTACCCATAGGGGGACTAATCAAAATTCATCACTTACACCGTTTATGCTAAGTACTTCCATATCGAAGACCTCAGTTAAATGATGCCTCGAAACACTCTGACGGTCTCCCTGCATGGTACTGCCAATTTGCAGTTTTCTACCGGACTTGTACTTTATATAACCTATTCTGGTCATTTTGCACACTATCCATTGATCGCCGAACAGCGGCAACAAATGCTCTAAAAACGTACTATTAATCACCTAATGCTACTCCAAATCATGATAGTTTCATCTGCTACATCAGCACACCATGGTGAAACGATTGGCTCAGATGATTGTTGATCAAGTCTAGGTAATGGAACGGATTTCAGATGCACAAACAATTAATTGGTTGCTTCCATCCCGGAATTAGATAGCTTTTTTTCTGGCTTCCCATGGTGTGAGCGTAGCAGTTCACCTTGTCCTCTGAGCACCAGCTGTGATCCTTTACTTGTTTTAAAAGGACCAAGTAGTTAGAGCACGAATTTACTGACTGGAAGGTCCGTGGTTCGAACCCAACCTCTGCCTCTCGACTTCCCCTGTCTAGACTTGGGCGACCTGGCAGTACCCCAGTCCCCGTGCCTCCGTGTGGCATGGCAGCTAGACACCGAAAGGATGCTACAGCTGGACGGTTTTTTTTTCAATTAGAGTGTTCTGATTTTTTTTTGTGGTAACTGGATAATCCCATAACCTTCACGGCCATCTTGGTAAACTAACTCTGGCCTTTGTTAGGCATTATTGTGGTAGTAGAGACCTGACAAGCTCAGAGTTAATAGTTTTTTAGAGTTTTTAGAAATTCAGCTAACTTACCTTGTAATCCTATTCATTCCTACAGTCTCTCTTGATTAGTAACACTATCTGTCCAACTGAAATGTTTTCATGTAACACTGCTCTTTCAGCCATCGACTCTGAGCTGCCGACCGCATGGTGGGATTCCTGTTGCGATAAATGCCTATTGTTAGGTATTTTGAAACATGGATGGGAAAAGTATACGTTAATGCGCTTGGATCCAGATTTGTGTTTCTACTCTCGAGCTATGACCCGGTTGAATGAGCTAGAAGCCGCAGAAGCCACGAACACTGATGTAAAGTAAGTTTGATTCATTCAGTCAAACGGAAATCATGACGAATTATTGTAGGCCCATTATTATTTTACCCAACTTGATAGGTTGGCCAGTTACTAATGTGCTGTTTATTGGGATCATTTTGTTTATATTTTCTCAATATTTTTCATTGATTATATTGCTTATAATTATTTCAACTATTACTTATTATTGTTTATATATTTCCATTACTAATCTGTTACAAAACACATGTTCTCAATCTAAGCGCCCCCTTTTTAGATATCTGTTCACTCACTCCCCCTTTCATCTCGACTATTATTTATTATTATTTATATATCTCCATTACTACTTTGTTACAAAACACACGTCCTCAATGTAAGCATCCACTTTTTATGTATCTATTCACTCACCCCCCCCCCTTTCTTCTCGTTGGTGCACAGTAGTTTGAATTTCATTCCGTTTCTCTCACAGGATGGAGGTAGACAAATCGAAAACGTCACCCTCGTTACCCTCTCCTGCACTAGTCGAAAAGGTTCAATCTCTAGCCGAGATGGCTCCCCACAAATCGGACGATGAGGCAACTTCTGAAGCTAGACTGGATGAGGATACATGTAAAGAGTCGGAAGGTACAAAGGCAGTTAAACCGGAGGATGGGCTCGCATCCGACGAACTGGAAGAGAACAAAGCGAAAGCGAAATTCCATTTGACACCACCCGGGAGTCCAGCGGACGATTGTGTCGACGAGCAGTCTAAGGTTACTAAAGAGGATGAAGAAGATGAGGATGCGGCTGTTGGAGCTTCTTCCGAGGCTTTGCTCACCGCCCTCCCCTTCCCTGCAGTAGCCGATCTTAACAGTCGTGCGCGAAAATTGGTGTCGTTCTTTGTACGAATCAAGAACCAATTGGAGTTTGACACCTATAGGGTATGTTTCCGATTGGCTTGAAGCAACACGCTGGTCAATACAGCTGTGAGGCCCCACTAGTTTATCTGCCTATACTGGTGGTTGAACAGGATTTCATGGCGCTGCGTTTTTTATACCGTAGTTCAGATTCTTCTTTTCGTTGCATCTCGTCAGGCACCACTGCCATAAGAGATACTAAGCAAAGAAAGCAATCGGAACTATCAGAAGAAATTGGTTGTCCTTCAGTGCCTCACTGACGACTCCAGATTCCCCACAGCCGACGTGTCGCTTTCATCGAAAAGAAGCGCTTCAGAGGAAAATAAAGTTTTAATTTTGATAGTTCGTTGACATGCGCGTTGTTTCCTGATCCTTTACTATTCACACAGGGTGGACGGAACAACTGTGGTCTAAATCGGCATAGATTGTTTCAGTCCGCTTTCAGTGATCTAAGCCGGCGTTCCCAATATCAGATTGGGCAGATTGTAAACCTGAGGGCGTCCTCCGGAGATCATTTTTCATGTGATGGAGTCATTCTAACCACTCTGGATAAGTTTCTCCCTGGAAACCATATTGAAACGGACTCTTGTGACAAAACATCGTAACATCTTAATAACAGTGTATGATTGAGATTAGTAACATCATTTTTGTGGTCGGTTTCAAGCAAATGAATACACCGCAGGCTAGATTTTTTCGGAAGATTTCCCTTATTTTGGTATGTACAGTTTTGCAAGCCCGTTTATCCTCCGTCAGCCCCATTTCAGTAAACTAATTGGTCATATTTTAATATTCAGTCTGAGTGAAGCGAAAGCGTTAACCGTGAGTCAATCAACGCATTGATTGTGGCTTTGTGAAACCAGGGGTTTTGTCGCCCGTTTCTTACAACTGCTTTCTTTCATTTCTGAAAACTACCGTACTCATGGTCTCGAGACTACTCATAAGGTCGCTAAAAACTCAAGACAGCCAGTCGGTTTCTTAGGATTTATCAAATATACCTATTCCCAAAATCTCCAAGCTTACCTATTTTTGTTTCCACGTTCGATGGAAACATCTGTTTTTCACCTTGATATTGCCGAGCTTCAATTATCTTTTGTCTTAATTAACGGTAAAAACTATGCTACACACCATGACACACGAATAGCTCAGGTTGCAGGTGTACATTTTTACCCCTAGTTTTTGTTGGATTAGTGTTCACTCACCTATTGAAATTGTTTTTTCTCTAGCAACTGCCGACCGATGAGGAGGAAGAATCACCCACACAAACGCCGAATATTCGACTGATGGAAAATAGGACGATGTACGTCCGTCTGCTTTTCTTTTGATCCTATTTTGGAAAGTTAGTAGGCCGGTGTGGGTCTTGTGATCTGCACCCAATCCCCTACTCTATGTAGTAAGGTTTTCCTGGGTTATTTTTTGATAGGCGTTGGCTCATGCACTAACAGCACTAACGGATCCAAGAGAGTGCTTACATAGCTCTAGATAGCTCAGTGGTTAAGGCACGAACTTAGTGACCGGAAGACCCGTGGTTCGAACTCACCCTCTGCATCTCGACTGCTTTTGTCTTGGCTTGGGCGGCCTGGCATTATCTCGGAACTTGTGCTTCCTCCGAGTAGCATGATAGCCAGGAGCCCTCGGGATTATACAGCTGAACGATTATTATTATTATTATTATTATTATTATTATTATTATTATTATTAATTGTTATTATTGGAATTGTTTCAGCACAGTTTAACAGCCCATCACGTATTTCGTAATCCTGATAGCTTTCAACCATGTTCCATTGGCACACTGGTTTCGGCTTCTGCAGTTTCGATCACCGAAAAGTGGGAAGGGATGCATTATGCAACCAAGCATCGGAGGCGATGGCGTATTCAGTTAGTTTTGGAAATGGGAAGCTACGCAGTGAAGGCGATAACTTTGATGCATGAGCGTCACTGACTGCGAGAGTGGGCATTTTCTGAAGTGGTCAGCCATTTGTGAGTTGAGTCCCGGAGTCCCAATCTGGTGAGACGGCAGTTATAGACCCGTCTCAGTTTACTGGTTAGTATTTTCATACTTTGTTGCCGGGTCATATACTGTCCACCTCTCAGTGGCTTCCACTCAATAGGGCTGGGTGAAAAGAGCTCTGCGAGCCAGACGGTTTTCTCGGATGCGGTCTACATATCGTAAGCAGTGCAACCTATGAAGCATGAGTAATTAGTCTATGGTGGAAGATTTCCTTCTTTCTAGGGCCATCTGGCGTACTTCTGCATCGGTAATCCGATATTCTCACCAGAACCGACCAATGCTTTTGAGATACCAATTGTCAAACGTTGACAACTTTTGAATGTCCTCCGCACGTAGAGGCAACGTTTCTGATCCATAAAGCTTGTATTTCGCAGTATAAACTCTACCCCTGACAGACAAACTGACGTCACAACGTTACCATAAGTGTCGGAGGTTGGCACAAACTGTCCTGCCCTTCCTGATTCGAGAAGCAATCTATCTACTCAGGATTCCTGTTCGATATACTTGCATAACGCTGACTGGATTTCCGTTTAACCCTTGATTTCTAGAAAATGGACTCGTCGTGAAGAAGCCGACTTTTACCGGGTTGTGTCAAGTTTCGGAGTTGAATTCACCCAGATCCCCTTGTCCGACTCGGATAACCCTGAAGGCGCGGTACCACCACCCGTGAAGCGCCGATACAACTGGTACAACTTCCGGCAACTAGCCAACATCACACGCAAAAATGACGATGCTCTCACGGAATATTTCCAAGCCTTCTATCGAATGTGTCAACGTGTGTGCAAGAAGGTGCCCACAGGTATGTGTGACAAAATGTACAATTTTGATGACTGTTCTGCAGTTCTAGGAAACAACAACGTCCATTTCAATTGTTCCAAGTTTACGCATGTTTTCGTTTATTACCATCTAGTTTGTTCATTTCTCTGACCAAGTGCCACAATAAGGAAAGGTTGTTGTAACGGGAAAAGTATACGGCCCCGGAAGATTTTCTAATTAGTGCTCAAATTTCTTGTTATTGTGACAAAAAGACGTAACCAATGTCACTTCAGCTTTTTCTGAGAATGAGTTAAACGTCATCGGTGGTCACACTGTTGCAATACCTTGGAAGTCACAGGGTGGTGCCTTGGTGGATAAGTCGTCCACGTCTAATAGAATTTCGTCACCTGCTTAAATGGAATTATGGTGTTGGTGCAAAAGTGGCCAGTTTTGAACGGTTCAGATTAGAAAATCCTTAATTCTACATCCTGACCACCAGTGCATCCGAATGTTGATCTAATTTCGCAGCTCAGACAGGCGTGGAAAAAAGTAGATATTACAAGTAGCTGCTCGATGGGGCACCAACAAAAATGCAGTGGTAAATGTGGTGTATGATTGCATGGACGTTGTCTATGCATTCGGCAATTCAAAGCGTTCTGATCAGCGGAGCGTTTTTGAGAGAGCACTCAAGGCAGTTGATTGTACAAAAGTTAGGTACATAGCGAACCACTTCACGGCTACTACCCCCTAGCTTGTTCAAACAGCCTTCCTCCACTTGTGTGCCCGTTCCTTCATTCATCTAGAATTCGTTGCACCCATGTCGACTGCGGCGACCACTACCACTTACGGTTCAAGTCCGCTGGGGTCTGAGGTTCCTGTGGCTCCCATATCTGAAGAACGGGCTACCCGTTGCCTATCCAGAATCGACCTGCTTGCTCGTATTCGGAATGACATTCTTCCTCTTCCACATCTAAAGGATCGCTTGAAGATATGTCAGCGCAGCTCTGAAATTCCAAGTTGGTGGATTCCTGGAAAACATGATGGTGAACTAATGCGTGCAGTGGCTAAGTAAGTTGTCTATTTCTATCGTCTGATCTCATACGTTCGCGCTACCCCTCCCTTCTCTCCGTTCGCTAAATTTCTCATTATCACGCGGCATACTTTTCTCGCTCGACTGCTGTTCCACCTAAATCGTGACTGTCCTTGGATGCTGGTCGTTCATTTCAGTTCTGCGCATTACCTATAGTTTAGTCACCTAATATTACCAGCCTACTGAAGGGGAAACATGTTGAATTCCATTACCGGCCCATGTACTACTTAGGTTTTTTCACTGGTGAGTTGCTTGCCTGCTCCAATTTTGAATTGAAGACTCGGAATAATGGTATGTGATGTTTACTGTCTTAATAAACTCACTTGCGACCTAGCAGCTGAAGGACCAACATCTGGGAGGCGATCTTACGTGGCACTATTATTTCATGCGGTTGGTAAGTGTTGCTTAACTTGATTGGATGTCACAAGGGAAAGGATGGTTTTGGCATCGAAGTTGTTACTGAGTTGGGGCACGATCTTGTGGCCTAAAAGGTAAGTGGTTCTCTTTAGCTGCCAGCCTTCGTGTTCGGTTTCATTAGGACTGCGCAGGACCCGGTAACGTACATCGTTCCGCTCTTGTTGCGCAAACCGAACCCGGGACTTCTGGTCTACAGTCATACGATTCTGATCAACACCAGATGCCGGGACTAGTATTCACAGAAAGTAATGATCAAAAGCTCGTATCTAGTCGTATCCATCACTGTTTTTACCATGCCCGACCGATAAAATAGGTGAGATTCTAACATTCCCCTACTGGTATATTCGTGCTCTCTGGATGAATTTGACTAAGAGCACTCGGTGCTTGTTTTTGTGATGAAACATACGGAGCGACTTCGATTTAGAGTACCCAGTTTAGAGGCATCTTTCCACATCGTCAGCTAACACTAGTGAAGCTCAATATTCTGACCTGCATCAGTTAGGACTTTGCACACGGTTGAATTACCATGCACTGTTTATCGTCGAGTCCTTAGCCGTACATGTGATTTTCAACTATCGATATTTCCAAATAAACTTCCCTGCTCAGCTTTAAAATAGCACTGAGTTTTTTGTAATGTACTACTCATAAACGAGAGATTCAGCTGGATTCCAGGTGAATCTCTCGAAAGAACTAAATTAGTTTGCAGATGAGTGTATATTCGCTAAGCACTGAGTTTTCTTCGTCTAGCTTCAACTCATGGTGACCGCGTCCTAACCTCATGATATAAGGTTAATCATTGATTAGTTCTCTGAATTCAATAATGACTATATAATCGGATCCCGAAAGACTAAGTCGCATGGCGAGATGACCCAAGTGGTTAGGGCGCCAATTTACTGACCGGAAGGTCCGTCGTCAGAAGGGTCATTAGACATCGCGAGCGACCTGGGTTTGAATTGTGACCCACTATTTTAATGATGTGCTTGAATCCCAAAAGACTCAGCTGCGCGAGCACCCCCTCTGTTTGGATGCAGAAGGACAGAGCAGGATTGTATTAGTAGCAGCTTCACAAGGTGAATGCCGACGTGTGTGCTTGTCGTCCCATGGAAGAAAACAGCCTCTGCATCTGCCTGCCTCAGGCATTCATACCGCTCATTTGATCTGGCGATGTCCACTATTTTTACTAAATCAAACGGAGGCAAGTGGACTAGAGCGTCTTCATTACACCCAACCCACCGTCCACTAAGCTTTGTTCACTGTTCAAGCACCGCTTCCACCCGACTTCTTCTAACACTTGAATGATGGCGCTTGGTCCTAACGTCGTGTTATGAAATACGATGGGATTTTATTGGTTAACCTCGCTTCGATCGGATGTTCGAATTAAGCTGGATGTATCAAGTAACGTGTGAAGTTTGATTAAATGTAGATCGAGATTGAGATGTTTATGCATTTGTCTTTTAATTAGACAATGTAGATTTTAGATGGTTTGTAAACTTCTAATAAAACCCTTTACCATAGAAAAAGTCACTTTGAATATGCCGGCATTATGAATTACATTGGGATTTTTCACGTTGCTGGTAGCCAACCCGGTATGCGGAGTCTCAAAAATACGACTGGCATTAACAAACAGGCTGGTAATGACAAATCTAAGTAACCTTCGGACAGTCGTTCTTTTATCCGTATGCAGTTCGCTTAATATAGTCTCTCCATCTTTAAACTAATCCGTATGTTCTCATCCTCACCTGCTTTCTAGACACGGACTCGCGCGTACAGACCTGAATATTCTCTCTGATCCGGAGTTCAGTTTTTCTCGCATACTCACTTTAATCCGGGAACGATTGTCTCGTGACTCCGCAGTTACAGAGTACACTGGAGATCTGGCTGCTAATACCACTCGTCCAAACCTCGTTGCAGCAGCCGCCGCTGCAGCGAAAGCCGTCGTAGCTGAACTGGAAAATGAGGATAAGCCTATGGTGACTAACGACTCTTCGTCAGTTGTCACACAGTCGGATGTGAAGTCAGAAGCCGCTCTTATGGAAGTAGACAATTCGGCGGCTTCTACTGGCTCAAATGATCTGAAAAAGTCGGATTCCGACGTCATTGTGAATGAAGACAAGACAGCTCAGTCCGTCGAAGATGGAACGGTGAATGATTCCTCCTCATCTGCCAGTCCGAAAAACACACAAAGTGTAGGGAAAGCCGAAGCACTACCCAATACAGCTGAGGAAAACTTTACTCAGGACCTAACCACAGGTGAACCTTATGACTGTCCTTTAGTGTTAGCATGANTACCCAATACGCTGAGGAAAACTCTACGCAGGACCTAACCACAGGTGAACCTTATGACTGTCCTTTAGTGTTAGCATGAAACCACCTTTGACTAGAGTACATCCTCATTGCAACAGGACCATCCCCCTTGGGAAAATTACAGAATAACGAATCCCATTCAGCAACAAGCCCTATCTTCAATCTATTACTAAAATCTACTGTTGGATATGTTATATGCATAGCTTACCACGTAACAATAGATAAAAGCAATTCTCAGTACTTAGGGGCGTCTATCACTTTGACTCTTCTCACACGACTCAGGTCATGATTGTTCCTGTTTTGTCCTGTGATTGGTCGAAGATCTTTAAAAAACTGTTTTGCTGAATGTGCCTAAAGTCTCCAACCACTTCTCTCCATTTCTCACGGTGGTTCTGTTGTAAACTGGCTAAGTGCTTGACTGTCTTGTTCATTTTAGGGGCTATCTAGCCCACAGATCTCCATGTTTTCATTATTGCGTTGATCTTAACCAACTCCCCGTGAATTGGAACTGTCGCTTGCAGCCGTCCTGGCTAGGTAGTGATAAGGCTGACAGGACTCGTCGATCAGACAGATCTCACTCTCCTTCAGACAAATCAGAGCAACGTCGATTCTTGAGATCTCACCCCCATGCGGTTCTACAAGAGCTTATTTCTATAGGCTGACGTACATAAGTGATTGGAAAGAATGATTTTTCCATTATCATTTGAGATGCTGCATATACCGCTATTAATGGTTGAGTTAAAGCGGTTATATTGAATTCTGTTCTTATGTTAGAGAGCCATACGGATACCTGATAACTTGTGACACGTCTGCTCACTACATGCTCGCTGTGGTGATTGGCAGTTGCTGTCACGCGCAAGTGCCGTTGAAGCATCCGCTTGCTTATCTATTTTTTCTTCAGTTTACTGGATCACGAGTCCAGGCAACAAAGCTTCATTATGACATATGATGCTGAACTCTTGTCTCCGGTCGAGAGGCGTGCAGTGTTTCCGATATCGGATGCCTGATAGAAAAAGTTGATGTAACAGGGGTTCTAATAAAAGTATTTTTGCACAAGCTTGGGTGCACTTCCTGACGAACGTACCTGCATAACTGAATTACCCTATATTGTCAACTTTCGGTGAATCATCCGTTAGCAGACATATATGGAAGCTGTTACTAGGTAGCCCGCTGTCAACGTGGCTCAGCTCGGGCGCTAAACCGGGGTGCCGTCGTCGCATTTGAGATGGGATTTGTGTGGTATTTTGACGTCGATCGATGTGGTAACCCTCTTTTTACGTTCGTACGTTTGCTACTCACTTTCGATGAACCCAATGCTTTTATTTTCATTCAGGGTCTACTCTACCAAAGACTTCAGCAGAGGCTGTGTGCCCTCCACCCAGTGTGTCTGTAAATGCACCCTGTGAGGATATTCTAAAACTGAACCAAATGGGTGAACTTGTTCCGAGCGAATGGACAGTCAAATATGCAACGAACCTGGCAACTGCTTGGCCCAAGGATCGAACTTTGCAGCATAGGTTGGAACTGGTCTGTCAGGCAATTGAGGTAGGTCAAATCCTCTCCGGATTTTCACAGCACGGTACATTGTTTTTTTTCCAACGAACTGTCGAAGACGACCATATGGCTATCCTTGTGGCACGGGCTATCTTTATCTGGAATACAAACACTTCCAATGCGACCGAGCCTGTTTGAGTTTCTCTACTTTGTAATTAAGTGAGACGTAGTGTATTTTAGTCCACTGTGCGATACTCAATAGCTCTCTTTCAAGTGTGCAGCAAAAGCCGCTGCCTATTTTTGCTTATTTTCACCGGAATCGATCTGCAATGGTCGTAATAATAGTCGAGTATTTGTAGCGACTGATTCATAGAAGTGTAAATCTCCGAGGGAAGATGATGTGAGTTTTTTCTTAGTATTCACCTCACTACTCAAAATTTCTATTATCTGCCCCTTTTTTTAGTGCACTCTGATAATGTGTCAGAGGAGGAACTAGTAGCGTTTTTCAAAAAGATCTTGTTTGATGAACGATGCTCATTTTCACGTAGCTGGATCTTAGACCAAGTCATGTGATATTTACCAAATGTGGTTTCCCTCGTGGTTGTTGTGGTAACAGGCGAAAGGAACGGAGGCTTCCCCGAAGCAGCACGATTTCTCGACAAATGTACAGACGGAAACTCATTCCAAAAGTTATCCGACAGATCGCCTTGGCTGTTCTGACGGCAACAGTCTTGGAAATAAGATATGTGAAATCTCCTGCAATGGGCTTCTCACACTAATCTGATAACTTCTGTTGCGACTTTCCTTGATCGAACATTCATGAAGGAGGATTCCCCGTCAGGTTTTCCGTCGAGTTCGAAACACGGATATACACTAAGGTGTATGTTTTACGTTCCTTAAAATCATTTCCGGTGGTCCTGTTGCATTTCGAAGTTTTTAGGTGGATGATTACAGTATCGCGAAAATTCAGATGTTCTCTAGATTATTCCAGTACTGTCCTATGTGCAACCGATTCACATTGTCCTCACCCAGTGGTGTTGTTTTTATCATATGTATTCATTGTGATTCAGAGGTGAAGATGGAAGCAATCGTTCACCACTCTCATTGTGATTTGTCTTGCTAACTGAAATTCCTCGAAAATAGAGTATCACATTCGTGTTTTGAAGTGCTTCTTGCTTGCAAAATTTTCGTTACCGAGTCCGAATTTAGACGGTTTCGGTCTCAACTATCCGATGTTACATATTACTAACAGTACAACTGCGTTTCTTTTAGAAAAACGAGTGGCCATATCCACGCCGTTACTTTCCTACCCCAAGTGCTGCTTCTCTACCCATCCCGGAACCAAATCGTGCACTGAACGAGACAAAGATATTGAATTTGTCCGCCAGTTACGCCTCTATTCGACCTCCTTTGGCTACTGCATCGTCATTTCCAATCCCATTATCGCTTCCTGGAAAACTGCAGTCCACCTACGGTTTACTGCAAGCCGGTGGAATACATCTTCCCAATGTCCCGCGCCCACTCCCGGTGGATTCCCCAAAGTCATTGGGATCTTTCGCCGGGACTTTCATCAGGAGCCCACCTGCCGTGGCTGAAGACTCAACAACCATCACTTCAGATACTTCTCTTGATGATTCTGAATGTTTGGATTCATTACGGCCACTCAATTTGGCTAAATCTTCCGGCCCCAAATTCAACCAGGCTTCGTCATCGTCCTCAGTCAGCGTGTCGAATTTAACGGGCTGTGTTGATGAATTCAGACGACAGCGATCACAGGCCACTTATGGTTCAATCAACTCCCCTATATCTTCCTCCTTGGTTCCAACGAATTCCACTATCGTGCCTACTACTCGAGGTCGAGGACGTGGTCGTGGCCGTGGTAGCCGTGGCACTCGTTCTCTGGGAGCCCGTGAACGATTGCATTCAGCTTCAAAGTATGACACAGAGCTGAGGGCCTCTTCCGACCAATCCTTATCAGATTTCGAGCGTCCAACTCGAACTGCTGGCACTGACGATCAGTCTAGGCCGGATGATGATTCCTTGACACAGAGTTCTGGTGAACACTTCTTGTCTGACCGCTCATCCACGCAGTCAATGCCGCCGCCTAATTCGGCACCTAGAGGTGGACCCGGAAGTCGTGGCCGTAAACGAAAACTGGAGTCTCCTCGGAGTTCTTTGGACTTCTCCAACACCCCTGGTCATAAGTCAACTAGCGTGCATGCGAAGCGGGAACGTATCGATTCTTTCGGATCCGGTCTCTCCGGTAGAGGGTCAAAGTCGTCAGCACGTACAGCCTCGGCAACGACCTCAAGTTCAGACGTATGGGATGTTCGGGTTCCTGTGATTAGCCTCGTTGACGGATCTCTGATCTACGGTGACAAAGCACCGAAACGAAGAGCCCTGGAGGCTTGGTTGGAAATGAATCCCAACTATATGCCGTACTCCGTTGAGATGGTGAGCCACTTTGTTGTTTGCGAACTGTTTCCATTTCTATGTTTGTGATGCTAATTTAGGCTTTAACGTTTTTCTTCTCGACTTTACCGTACCAGTGTATCCAAGTTACCGGTATCTGTTTATGTTTTATGAGCACAGTTCCCGCTGTTTAGATTCTAGGAAGTTCCCGACTACCGTATTCTTTGTGCTCCTGGACCATGTGTCTGGAATGCCAGGTATTTTTTTGGAAGCGATTGGTACGCGAATGCAGAAAGATATTTCTTCTAGTTTATCTGCATGCCTTTCGGGTATGCCTCTAAATTCTCTATTTTTACAAAGGTTATTTTTGGTCATCCTTGTTGCTATTTCAGAATCCTTCGTTCCCTTTAGAGAAACAGGGGCGAGATGGCCGAAGTGGTTAGGGCGCCAATTTGCTGACCGGAAGGTCCGTGGTTCGAACCCGACCTCTGCCTCTCGACTTCCCCTGTCTAGGCTTGGGCAACCTGGCAGTATCCCAGCCCTCGTGCAACCTTCGCGTGGCATGGCAGTTAGGCACCGAAAGGGTGCTACAGCTGAACGATTTTTTTAGAGAAACAGTCGCCAAACAACCTCCGTTGTTGCCTTGAATAGGTCCCCAACCGAAAGGGTCTACAGCTGAACGATTTTTTTAGAGAAACAGTCGCCAAACAACCTCCGTTGTTGCCTTGAATAGGTCCCCAACTGAACTGAAGTGATTGCAGACCACTGTAGTACTTAGTCGCTCTTCGTATCTGCCTACAACGATGAGCAACGACGCCTGGCAAACGTGAGAAAGCGTTCAGCTGTAGCACCCTTCCGGTGCCTAGCTGCCATGCCACCCGAAGGAAGCACGAGGGCTGGGATACTGCCAGGTTGCCCAAGCCTAGACAAGGGAAGTCGAGTGGCGGAGGTCGGGTTCGAACCACGGACCTTCCGGTCAGTAAATTCGCGCTCTAATCAATTGGGCCGTCTCGCCCTGGCAAACGTACTCACACGTAACACGTAGACTGCGATAGCAGATTAGTTTGTGGGTAGTTGCTAAGTGATTTTACACGGCAAATAAAACCACAATGGCCTTTCTTACCTTCGCTGAAGGCAGGCACATGTAAATAAAGATCGACTAAGCCAACCCTTTTGCCAACTTTGTGTTTTATGCCATTAGGATGGAAATGTGTGTAGGCTCATATAGCGGTCCACGATGGCTTTCGTGCAGCGCTTTTGTTACGTCCCCATCTGACTTACCTCATTTTCGAGGTCACCCGCTTTGTGTGATTTCCACTCCACAGGAGGATCGTATAATCTACAACCGCGTGGCTGGTGCGAGGGGTCAAGACACAAGCAACATGGAAGCTTTGGCCTACAAGCACTATCTGAATAGCTTGATAGCGAACGCCGCTGCTGGTCTTCACTCTGCGACTACTTCTCCCTTCGTCGCTTCCAAAGGCAGCAGCGCTCCCGCTCAACAGCTGTTACAGTTGCAGCAACAACAACAGCTCCTGCAAGCATTTGGGGCGTATGCCCGTCATCCTGCGTATGCTAGCATTCTCGCCTCAGCTCTAAGTGGCTGGCAGACGGCGAATCTCCCAGGTATCCCAACGTTTTCCGACAACGTCTCAGAAGCATCAGACACGACAGCAATATCATCTAGCCGGGTATCTTCTGCCTCTTCAACTTCGGTGTCTACAAGAACACGGGCCGCAGGTATGTGCCTTGACTCGCGTGACCTGCCTCTATAGCATCCCGTTCATTTTGCATGCATGAGTATTCATCTGAACTAACTCACTGAATCTCGTTATGTATCCTGTTTACAGCTGCGTTAATGTAGCTCACTATGTCTTAATTTGTTTACTACCGTACAGCTGCAAAAACTCAGGATTCCCCTGCTGGTCGTCGAGATAAGTCACCTTCCTCCGAAACTTCTACCCACGCTGCCTCCACGTCCGGTTCTTGTAGTCAGCCGGCATCTCCACCCGAATCTGGAGCACCGATTTCTAGCGTCTCTTCCGGTGGCATGGACTCAGTTCTCTCCGCAGCTTATAAGCAGGCAACCGCTAACTTAGCTTACATGTGCAACCCTTTAGCAGCAGCTGCAACCTACAGTCAACTAATGCTCTCCTCTGCAGGCTCATCAATGGCTTCAGACCGGGACAGTACTGGTGAGTTGCTGCTGTAACTTTCCCAACTGGTGCGACAACTTCCTAAGTTTCTCAGATTATGACAGTGGTGAAGTCGGCAGCCCGTTGTAGGTAATGTGCATCGATAATTAGTCTGAATCCATTACTGTTGCATACTGAAATCACATCCAACCGGACGACCTTCATTTTTCGTGTGTATTTTGTGTTGAATCAGAAAGCAAAAGTAGCCGGGGACCATTTGAACAAAACAGACAGGATGTGAAAACTGGACGTCGCGTTAACGGTTTTGCTCTTTGGGCCTATCAGGTAGGCCTAAACTACCTACCTTCCTATTTAAATACCGAATTGTACGCATATTACGATAAACACCCATCTTTTATGTCCGGCCAGATGAATCGTCGTGAACCGTCCTCAAAGTCAACACATTTGGAATCTTCCTAGGTGTGCAGATACGCGTGTATTGTTGGACACGATATTGACGAGTGCCGATCAACATCAAGGTCTTAGCGTTCGTTCACCCGGGCTCCCGAAGTTAGTTGATCATAACAGTAGGTGTACGGCAGAGAACCAACAGTGCTGAACCTCGTTGTTATGCCGTCCATGATAATGTGTATAGCAATACGGGAACTGCATTTTTACTGATAACTTCAGAGTCGGACGACTGGAAAATTTAGTAGAGTGTCATTTGGGCGCAAATCTTATGTCGTCATAACCACCCAACTGGCATGCTGCAGTACATCAACTCGGTACTGGTCGTATAAATCTTGCATATTAAGGACGGAGAACTAATTTATTTAGTTCATTTTTCTTTGTGGCAATCAATCTGGTACTACTTGTGAGTCCAATGGCTGTTACGAACCACGCTGTTTGTTTACTGAAAGATGCAGGCCCCGTTACCTTTCCGCTACAACCCGATGGTATCTGAGTGGAATTTTATTAATTTTTACTATTTTTTACTGTTTTGTTATTTTTATTTATTTTATTCTCTTATAGTATACTTATAGTATACTTTGCCTCCACGCTGATACTCTCTTTCGATCTCTTCTCATCATTATTTCCCAACTTGCAACTTACTACCGCCTTTTGTTCTTGTACAGGTTCCTCTAACAGCACTGCAAATTTGTCAGGGCAACAAGCTGCACTCGCATCCTTGTACGCGACATACATGTTGTCTGTTCAGCAGCAGCAACAACAGCAAATTAAGCAGTCGATTACGTGGGATGCGCAACGCCAACAACAACAACAACTAGCCTCTTTGGCTACTGTTTTATCTGCGGCCTGTGCCGGTACAGGGGGTCTAGATCCCTCTAGTCTGATGTCGGTGTTCGGTGCAATGGGAAGTAGATCAACTTCTTCCTCGTCTGCTCAAGCCTCTTCCACCACCACCACCACCACCACCCACAGTGCCATCACCAATCCAGTCCGTTCGGAAAGTGTAGAACTGTCCTACCAGACTCCACCCACATCTTCCCCTCACACATCTCTCGCCCAGTCGTCAGACACCACTGCCGCCATGAATCTCGCCACATCTACTTGTGCCCCTGAACATGCCGCACCCAACTCTCCAGACCCACCCCATGACCGAAAAGACTCTGGAAACTCAGCCCATTCCGAGGATAGTGACCAAACCCAGTCCGTATTGGATCTCAGTACGTAATTACTCGTATTTCTGTATCCGGCAGTATGCCGCTTCCATCCTAGCCCTTCCTCTCATCAAGGAGGCATGGTCTAGCTATTGATCTCATTCGTAATCGTTTTATAAACGCCTTCCTTTCCAACGAATCCTCCCTCTTTGTTCAAACTATGTCTTATCGTGATCACTTTTAGTATCCATTCTATCCCATTGTTCTCAACGGTATCCCACTCGTCACTGTTCACTAGCCACCTTCGGGTGTCATCCATCTATCTATCTACCCATATTTTCGTCAACCATTACCTCCACTTGCAGGAACGTTTTCAAAAGTACCTTCCCTCCACTGTCGTCTATGCCACCGATTTCGTTGAGGGCCTTTCTGATGCGTCCGTTTGTTTACAGCTTTTTCTCCCGTGGTGGTTTTCTTAGTCTCGGATCCTTTTCTCTGTGAAACCAAAAAGCCAACAATCATCTCTATGTTTCTGGTGTAACCAATACCAGCACTGCTACCAAATCGTTTCTGACTGTTGTCGTACGTATAGTCATAATGGTGCTGGTTATTGCTTCCTACACAAACCCATCCGTCTGGTCCGCGCTTATTTGTGGACAACATCGTCGATGTTTGTTTTGGCCTAGTTGTTCAATTATTCTTCGCTTTTTCTTGACTTGTACCTATCCCAATGCGATTTGTTATTCGGGCCGGTCAGAGACTGTGTAAGAAGATCTGGACTGCGATTTGTTTATATAAAAATTACATGTGTACACATTATACCACCTCGAATACGGACAATTCAGCTGGACCGGAGCCCGGCCTCTAAACAGGCGCTGTGTGCATTTTTCGTATATACATTTACACATATATGCGTACATTTTACTGCTCCATTACTAGGCATTAAATGATAAATATATGAATGACACAAATGTACTTTTTGAATTTCCCGGGGGCGTGTAAAGGATACAAAAACATTGTTCTTGATAGACATCAAAGTATGCTTTCTCTGTCGGTTTGTCGCACAAAAGCCTGGTTACTACGCTCGGCTCCATAGTTATTCTCGACCACCTGGATTCATAGAAGAAAGCGGCTATGCATCTCGAACGTGCACAAAATAAACCCAGCGAGCTCTAGCGATGACAATGCCTCAAGGATACCGACTTGGCCATCGGCCTGACTGAGCTCGAGATACCTCGGTGATTGAAGCCCGAAAGTCCGTGGTTCAAACCCAACCTGTGTATCTCAACTGCTCCTACCTGGGTTTGGGCAACCTATCAGTATCTCTTCCATCAATGCTTCGTTCGGATGGCATCGCAGCTAGGCACCGGAAGCGTGTTGCATCTGAACGATGGTCGGCCTAAATGAGGCAGAAAGTAAAAAGACAGCAGTTTGCGTGCGTCTCTCCCTCATTCCTCACGGCCGTTTAAGATCTCTCGGTAAGCGCACAATTTGACAGATGCGGACAAAGGCGCAGAACTGTATAACAAAACTTAAACGGAAGTTCTAAATAATGTAGAGATGCTGCATAGAGCACTCAAAAGAATCTGGTTGTGAAATAATAGGGGGACATGAGTGTTTGGGGTGAAATTGATTTGCAAGTGCTCATTTAAACATAAACCAATAGCATGCGAGATTCCCTGTCAAGTTCTCTGACCTTTCAGTGTGTCAGGCACCGTCACACGTCTTTCATATGCTTAGTCGCTCTCACGCACTCATCTTTTACCAAATGACCGGTTTGGCCGATGGTATATAACGCTGAAAAGCCCCTAAACATTAATCCGCTTCGTCTATGTTAATTTGGACCAATCGAACACAAGTACTGCAAATGCCCGGAAATAAATGATTGAGGTCTCCCCATGGTGCACGTTTTCGCTACCGAAAGTAGTCACCTACGTGACCGGAAAATCGAGATGTTCTAAGGTTTCTCCTGCCATGGGGATTCAGTCCCCACTTTTTCCTTATTCCGGAGTTTTCTGTAGCAAACTGCATGAGTAAGAAAGTAACCCTTATAGGGAACTTTTCTGTGGAGGTGGATGTCCTGGATGCAAGCGACTAAAGGAGCTGATGTTGACTATGCTGTACGGCATTTCTGGCTACATCATTAACCCAGAGCACCATCTATATATCTCTGGCCTAGGCTTCTAAGATTGCAAGCACCTCAGAATTGCTGCGTAATTCCGTTTTTCCACCATACCTAGACTGCAAGCGTTTGTACAAAGTGATTAGTATCGAGCGGTTGCCAAATAAAAGCTAAAGTACAGCACAGCGGGGAAGTCCGATTCGCGAAAGGCCTGCAGAATGCTTGATGACACAGCCTTCGAGCAGACTGGGAAGTTATTCCTATACCATTCGTTCAAAAGCTTCAGAGGGGAACGTCGCTCAACATTTTGTTGTTTGTCACGGATGAATTAAAAGTACGGCTCCATGTGAAACGGAACAGAATCGTTCTTCGTGGGTAATAAATCCAGTAAAGTGTGAGAATAGAAACAACTGTTAACGAAAACTACTGGTTCACTTATCAAACAAGGAATGCGTCGCAGTCAGCCTATCAATCCCACAGAACTGTCCTTAAGATGAGACATTCCAAAGACCGCTCTCATGAGAATCCAACTTTTTGCCAGGGAATAGACGCGTGGCGCTCTTACGTATCCATAGCTTTATCTGTTCTTCACTAGTTCCCTCAAGCAGTTGGCTTGAATTCATTCCACCCTCACCCGTTTCGTCGCAATGGATTGACAACGAACACCCGTACGCGTTGATTGCTGCGGTTACCGGGCTAGCTTCATCACAATGGCGGCTTATGCGCGAAATTGCCTAAGTCAGTTTCAAACCAGGTAATAACTGGAAGATAATTGCTTGACCACATCTTGATCTCCAAGTCGTTTTTTCAGGCTTTCAACTAACATCTGAAAGTCAGCTTGTTCAATCCGTGCTAGTTTGTTTGTAGTTGCATGTCTTTTCGATGAATTGAGTGTAACGTCAGTTTGGAAACTTCTTCACCATTGCTAAGGTCACGTGACATAAGTATTGGGTCCTAAAGGTGTACAGTTTAGTACGAAGTACACCGAACCTCTCTCCTAATACTACCGCGTACTAGTCACTCGGTTAGAACAGTACTCATGGATTAATGAGACTCACGAATAGTGAGTGACTTAAAATTGCATCTGGCATCCAAATTATTCGAAATCAGAAACATACAAGACCTTGACCAGGGCAAAAGAGGGAGGTGTTAACGATGAGGTGACACGATTCTGAGTGCCGTACCTAACGAATCTACTCCAGTGGTGATTGCTGTCCCTGAAGTTCTTAAATCCATCACTTAGTGCTAGATGAATAATTCGTTGCACTGGTTCCCTAAGTTAATTCCATCCTAGAAGAAACCACTCGAACGGGACCGCTTTGTCCCGGTCTCAAGCATCTTGGCCTCGGATTGATGATCGAAACACAAAACACTCCCACCAAAAAGAAGACGGAAAGTTTTTCGCCCTACCACCACCCACCATCCTTTTCAGAAATTAGAACCTGATAATACCATATTGTATGATCATCAATTTGTGCTTGACCTTGATGAGTCACGATTTTCGGAGGCCAAGTTCTGGTCTGATACTTGTTCCGCTACCTCTAATGAAGTTGACAATTGAACTTTCTGTACATACGGATGTTCCCACAGGTTGTGTAATACGATGAATCGCGAAGTGTGCTCCTGTGCGCCAGTACAACGAACCCACTCCAACGAAAGATCGGTTGTGTGCCTGATGAAAGGAAGAAGGCCTTCGCTGCTGAGTTGCCATAAAATACCAACTGAACAGTTAGACTATTGGACAGGCAAGCAAAATTCTCATATGCATCTTGTTTACAAAAACTGAATACCCATCTTCTCTTTGAACGCGTCTTTCTGAACTTTCTTGGATATTTCAGAAGAGCTTGGTAAACAATCGGTAGGTTTATCCTAGATATTCACTGACTGTTGCTCAAATCCAAGCAAATGTTACAAAGCAACTCCACAAATTCCGCAATAGATCTCACTTTTCGAGAGACGTAAAGCGGATTTACGAGAAACCATGCTACTCGCATGCCTCCCACATCAGTAGTATCATCGTTACACTGGTAGTCCAGCTGATTACCCGGAGCATTCGGAAGACCATGTCCGGTGAACTGAGGTGTCCAAATCCAACGGAGATCAAGTTAAAATTGCTCAGTTAGGTAGAAAATCCGATACAGGCACTGCTAGACTGATAACGTTGGAGTTACATTATTGTCGAAAACCAACGAAGTCACAGCACTTCACCGGCTGCTTCCTGGAGGTGCCTTCACAGGTCATGTAAGTCCCGGTTCGCCTACGCTGGAAACGTACTCTTCATGTTCCAAGATACCATGCTAGTTCAATAGTTCCATAAACGCGTGCTGCACACGTATCCTGCCTGGTCACACCACAGCATAAACAATTTTCTCCATTTTCAAAATGGCTTATTGATTATTTTGTCAACGTAAGCGTGGAAAAACAAGGTATCGCTAATTTGGACCAGTTTTTGAAGTTTTGCTCAGCGACTGTTAACCTCACTAGGGCACGTGACCACAAAATGAGGTTTTCTTGAACCGCTTGAATGGTCTTTTCGGAAGTGGCGTCAAGGATGAAAAGTGTCTATGGCACAGTGGTATATATATACTGTATGCATAATAATATAACATAATATAATATATAAGATTATATAATATATAATATAATCTTATATATTATATTATGCTATATTATTATGCATACAGTATATATATACCACTGTGCCATAGACACTTTTCATCCTTGACGCCACTTCCGAAAAGACCATTCAAGCGGTTCAAGACAAGTTGAGATAATGAAGGACAAGTAACAGTAAATTGATTTTAGGAGCATGCAAATGTCACGGAGTACCTGCTTTCATTGAAAGGATTGCGCAAAGGGCTTATGGGCCGCTAGCTGCACCCCTTGTTTATTGCACGTCGTAGAATAGCCATATTTCGCACAATATCAAATAGAGGGGATGTTAAAATTGTCCAAAAATTACTCCTAAAAAAACTGGATGGTCGCGAAAAACTTGGGACTCGGCTGACCTCCCAACTATGGACGTCTCTTAGAAGGGTTCACTGGTATTTTCCTTTTCCCATGAGTTTTAAACTTCCACCAATCATTTCATTGATAACATCTTTACCAACTACTTATCAATCAAAAGATTCCAAAAATATTAGCCCATCGTTGGGCTGAGATTCCTCAACGACCCTAAAGTGTTGATTTTCACATTTTTACGCCAGGAGTGTGATTAGATCCCCAGGCTTTGTACACTCTGTACCTCAAATCTCTCTTTTAAAATGCTACAAACGGTTCCGATTGAGCCCGGAAGCCCTATTTTATAGGTGCCTGAATAAAAACGATACAACGGAGCCTCCCACTATGAGTGTAATGGTGGATGCTATTGATGAAGCATGCGAGTAGTATGTTGTTTCTCGTAAGTCCACCCTGATCAATGGATGGTGGGACTTATGACGGAGTTTGTGGAATTGCTTTGTAGCATTCGTATAGATTTGCTTGACAGTCAATGAATATCCAGGAAAGTTCAAGAAGAAGACGGCTATCTAGTTTTTTTCGAAAAAATTAGGCGCATATGAAAATTTTGCTTTCCTGTCCAATGGTCTGGAATTATTCAGTTGGTGTTTCCCAGCGAAGGGCTTCTTCCTTTCATGAGTACCGATGTTCACTCAGTCATCTGCAGAATAACAAAATGGTAAATTTTTGTGCCCCACAACAATGAATAACTGGTTCATTCCATCCAATCACTATGGACATGCAAAGAAGGTCAACTTCTTACCTTCCAAAACACGTAACGGCAGGATAATTGGTTGCCAGTTTATGATTGGATCTAAGAAAGCAGGATAGAGCAATCGAAAACTTCTCCTAAATTACTAAAGTGGATCCAATGAATGGTCCCACCTGTTCTTAAAATTTATGCACAATTTTTTCCGTTTCGCCATTACTTTTAATTAAGATAGTGGAAAGTAGCTTTGCATGGCGTTTCTTATGAAAAAACAGTGACGGTATGAGAAAGTATTGCCAGAATTTTCGTGTGTGATACTGTGACCAAGGACTGGCAAGTTGAGGGTTTCACCCACTGTATCATCGATTTTCACCGCAGAATGTCGTCAGAACACCATCATGCAGCTTTTAATTAAAAATCCGTTTCATGTACAAATTTGCCATAATTTCCAGTACTCTCCAAGGCGCACATTCTGCACCTTGGCGAAAAATTTAAAGGTATCTTTGTCATATTTCGGCAATATCCCACCCTCCTCCTCATGATTCGCTGATACCTTGTCTTTTGACAAAACGATACAAGTGTCCTGTGAGCTAGTGTTCCGGGATTATTATTATGAAAGGAAAGCTTGCTATTTATAACCATATGAAGAAGCGCCCATTGAATGTTCCAAATTGCGTTGTGGCAATTCAGTCGTCTTTATTTTATAAGATCATACAGGCTGACCTCTGCTCGTCATAAACTGGTGATCGACGGAATCAGGCAAAACCAGATGAGAATACGGTCAGTATTTCATTCACAGTATGGCAAAAGATTGAGGGTACTGTTCAAGAAGTAAGTCTATGTTAAATTTGTTGTAGTGCCACACAAGAGGAAATAACTTTAGGCAGCCCTGCGATTCTTGATCCCTATACCAAAGCGACTACTCAGCTACTATTCGGTCTTTGCGTCGAAATATTATCCTCATCCTGTTAGCGATTAATAATTGGACAATAAATGAGCAAAATGTGCTAGCAACTAGATTGTTTACAGCCTACAACCTCGTTTACCAACCCCTGAATGAAACGACTTCAAATTCTTGTTAGATTCGTGGTTACGGTTGATCCAAATGTATTTGTGTGCGACCACATAACCATATCACCATCATCAATAGTACCGCAACCGTGTTCAAAACTGATGCTTCGCTGCTGTACACCCGTAGCTTATTCGAAAGCCTTATTGTGAAGAGGAAATAAGGTGGATGCGGAAGCCTTTCGGGAGAAAGTTTCGTACCATCTGGTCGGTAAAAGTTGCGATACTGCGAGGGTTGCCAAATCTACAACCAGCGATTACCCAGGCTTCCATATAACATGGTTTTATTCCTAGTATCGTGCAGTGATTGATCCCCCAAACTCCTGCTTCACACGCGTCGATTAGGAGAACAGCTAGATTATCGGGACCCGTGGCATATTTGGCCGACCAGCTGGTGAAGCAGCTTAGAAAATTCTAGCAATGCTTACCTGTGATGAACAAGACTGATACTCTATTCATTGCTCTATTCATTATTCTCTTGTTTTAATATTCTATATGCTGTACATATTCGCCAATTCGAATACATACGTGCTGGTTGTTACGCTTCGCTGAATTCTGGATTTCTAGTTCGTCTGGTTATACCGATATACGTACGAAACT